ACCAAAGCAAAGACCTGCACACACACAGGTCAACAATGATTCAACATCCCCACTTGATTCCCACATAATGATATCTAAGGGTCAAGCCCTTAGTTCTGGTTTGTGAGCTTTAGGATCAACATCCCAAAGTCTAACCCCTAGCTTCTATCTACCCTGAGTCGTCTGTCACTCCTCCTCCTTTTATTTCAAGCAGTTTCTTTGCCTATGTCTCAAGTTGTCCCAGGGAAACTCATATTTCCCCTTCTCTCAGTCCTTGCACTTCACTCTGGTGGATAAGCACTGTCTCTTATACACATCTAGATGTGTATAAGAGACAGCACACACATAAGTCAACAATGGATTCAACATCCCCACTTGATTCCCACATAATTATATCTAAGGGTCAAGCCCTTAGTTCTGGTTTGTGAGTTTTTGGATCAACATCCCAAAGTCTAACCCTTTTAACTTCTACCTACTCTATAGCTGTCTCTTATACACATCTAGATGTGTATAAGAGACAGGTCTGGGGACTTGTAGGGGGGGTCAAATTTTATGTTTTTTTTTTTCTGGTTTTAGTGTTCGGGCACGTAGGCACACGTGTCCGAGGCCCAAAGCGCGAATTCCATTTTTCGAAATTCAACTCCAAGCCCCCGTTTTTGCGTTAAACGGGACTTAACGGGGGTCCAAGGGCCCGTTAAACGGATGAACGGGCATTGAATTTTGCCCGTTCTCCGTTCAACAGAACCAGTTACCACTCCAACCGTGCACGCGTGCTATACCTCTCACGACACCCTGCGACGGGTCGGTTCGTCGCGAGGTACAACTTACCTCTACAAGAGGGGCTGTCACCACCCTCAGGTAGGCGTATCCCTGCTCAGCAACCGGCCCACGTGCGAAGGCTTTTACGTGCCTGAGTAGAGGTAGGTTGGCTGAGGGCATTTGCCCGATCGCTGTAGCATAATATGGTGTACGCGTGGTAAGACGCCTAGAACTGACCCTTTAGATATTCAGGTCGAACTTTAAGATGGTCGTCTATATCCTCTTCTGTTCCCAAAGCACATTCTTCTTCTGACCTCTAAGATCAATGTACGAAACTTGTCACTACCAAAGATGTTATATTCTACTCATCGTATGCCTGATCATCAGATAATATAGAAGTTATGTAAGACTTGATCGAGGTATTACCGCTTGGAACCCTTCCCACTTTCACAAGTGCTGAGTGTCCTGAACTCTTCACGACGTCCATCCCACTCCAATCCAAACCATCCACAAGACAGACCTGCACAACATAATGCAAAGACAGTTCACATGCCATGCACTAACGGCGTCAACCATCAACCATTGACATTGTCCCTCACTCCCCAAACCATGC